GCATAAATATGAAGTTGGAAAAGGCAAGATGTATTTCAGGACTTTTTCGGTTAAAACCGGATACAACACGTACCGCCACCAAACTCTTCCCGTACCCCTGGGGGTACGCGTACCACACTTTGGGAAACACTGCCTTAGCTAATAATGGAGATACTAGTGAGGCCATTGAAAATACCATTCCAAAAATAGCACTACTTTGGTTATAAGGTCTGTTACAGCCAAATTATAGTCCTAGCGGAAAAAAGGCAGAATATCATAATTTCATGAGAATTCTAAGAATGAAATTACAAAAAAGTGTGGATCTTAAAGTCTATGGCCATAATAAAGCTAAATATTACAGAATAAGGTTATGCTTCAGTTCAAAGAACACAAGCTTTTTCTTCAAGAACTTAAAAAAAAAGATTTAGATGAACCAGAGGGGACATTTCTTCCAAAGGTTTTCAATAGTATAACATCTCAGTGACCAGCCTAGCAGGTGTCTAAATTTCATAGTGTATATTTCGTTTTCTACTTTCCCACTGTCTACCCACCTCACAGCGCTGGAAACAAAACAGTCTTAAACTAAAAACAAACGATGATGTAATATGCAAATCCAATGGAAGACATGTAAATGCAGATTTTGAATCTGAACTACAATACCTGGTTTGGGATTCCATAGAGACAACGTTTCAAATAAATAAACGAATACACACGTAAAAACAAATTTGTAAAAACTCAATTTCCTTCATTCTTCTACACATCTCTAAATACAGAAATCTGAGTCAAAAGAATTACTTCAGTCACTTAAGACGTGAATATACCTAAGGGGTATTTTAATTTTCCTTAATTTCTTTTCCACATTCCCCAGTTTGAACAGTAGACACCATGGTACCATATAACAATGTGCTTTGAAAGTCCATTCTTTCTAGTACAGGTAGTCCTCCACTTACAAACATTTGTTTAGTGACTGTTTGAAGTTACAGAGACACTGAAAAGTTACAGAGACATTTTTCATATTTATGACCACTGCAGCATCCCCATGATCACGTGATCAAAATTTGGATGCTTGGCAACTGGCATCTATTTCTGATGGTTGCTGTGCCCCAGGGTCATGTGATCACCTTTTCAGACCCTCTGACAACCAAAGTCAATGGGGAAGCATGATTCGTTTAACAAAGGAGTTACTAAATTAACTGCAATGATTCCCTTAACAACTGTGCTAAGAAAGCTTGTAAAATGGTGCAAAATTCCCTTAACAACCGTCTTGCTTGGCAACAGAAAATTTGGGCTCTATTGTGGTTGTAACATGAGGACTACCTGTGCCAAATCTATGTCATAGGGAGGTTACTATTAACACAAACCAAAAAATTATTTGCACATGTATAACTGGTACTCTAGAAAAAAAGAAACATAAACCCTAAACCCCTGAAATAAGCTATAACGAACATTAATTATCAAAATCTAAAACAAATCAGTTCGTTCCCTTCACCAATTCACTAGAAATATATTCAATTTGAATACATTTATTTCCTCCTGATTCCAAAAATTCAAGTACACATTTCAGTAAAAAGTGGTTCAATTAACCAGATTATACCCAATATTTTAAAATGCTTTCCTAAAAACGTGGCACTGTGAACACACACATGTAAAAAAAATGATCATATCATAAGTAACTTGTATCTAAGTTTTTCAGGTCAGCTGTTTCCAATGCTTCTTCAACCTCAGCTGATTTCCCAGCCTTTGCTTGCAAATTCACATTTGGCCTTAAGTAGGTTATAGATAACTATATGACAGAAACTAATTAGGATGACGTATTCACTGAGAGTATAAGTCAATAATATCTGTCGGCACATAAATGATAGGATTTACAGTGTGTCTGGGTTTAATTTGTGAAGACAGTGAAACTCCAACTCCCCTTGGGCATGTGATTCTGCAGCACTGGTATTCTTTAAATGTTAAAAAACTTGCTGGATCAGCCCTTAGAAAGGCCTGATAACATATAAAGAGCATATAAGGCCTAAATGCTGGACTTTAGTCTTGCCTTTACTTGCTTTACATCTAAATTTTAAGGTCTGTGTATATATGTGAGAGAAAGAAAAAAATCTGGAATGTTCATGATTTAACAAACATCTTCTGCGATACACCTGTTCTGCAATGATATATTTTGTCATCTTCTAACCTTATTGAGTTGTTGAAAGACAGAAGCAGGCGCCTCACCTGCTTATGATCATCAATTGAGTTGTGGCCAAGGGGCAAGGATTAGCCAGTTCCCTCTCATACCAGATTTCTTAGGCCAAGCTCATACTTATTTCCATCACCCCTTCCGCATTTGATGCTAACTTTCTATTTAATTTCCTCTTTTTTTCTCCTGCAGCACACCTTGGATAACAGCATCTCAGCTCTCCCTTCAATCAAGCCTCTTAATTCTTTTGCAGCTTACCAGAAACAATAAGACTATTCCAGAGCGTGTCAGTGACTCTTCCCAATTTACTAAAGATGAGAATTCCAGTCAGCATGTTCACGTACAGCATTAAAATTATTCTAGAAGGTAAAGCAATCTGTAATTCTTTGTTTTTCTTGAGTGTGTTGCTGTTATATCCCATGCTGCAGGAAAGGAGCAGGAGGGGAAGAGGAAACTATGATAATCCAAAAGCTTTCTGACATACTCAGAAGTTTATGTTTCTGACAGAATTGGCTACAGTACTTTTTTACTGACAAGGCTTTTATAAGCAAATCTTTTTTCAAGTCCCACCATTAATATATCTGACATCAACAGGAAAAACATAAGTGTGTATAGTGGGGAATAAACCTGCCGAAGTTAAGCCCCTCCCAATTATACTACAGAGGTGGATTTAAAACCTATTCTTTTAACACAGCCTCTTAAGGAGTTAAAAAAAAAACTTGTCCTGTTTTTTTTAAAAATGTTTGTATAGTAAGCTGATTGGAATAATTCAGAAGTGGGCAGAATATAACTTTTCTGAAGAAGAGGTATAAATAAATTCCCCGTACTGTATAACAAAATATCTGATGAAGCTGTGTAATGTAACAATTATTTTGCAGCAGAGCTGTGGTAAGTTTAAAAAGTGTGGATATTAATCCTCATGATTACTAGTTACTGCAGAACGTATTTTTCCCCACAATGGAATCTTACTGGATGTTATCATTATATACTATTCTTATTCAAAACATGAATATTTCAAGACTTTCTGACTCAGAAAATAAAAACCATTTTAGTTCAGCTGGAAGGAAAAATTACAAAATGATATTTTGCTTTTCTTAAGCCCCTAAGTGTTCAGGATATATTTAAACATATGATGCAGTCTTGTCATTAGTTTTGCCCAAAAAAGTCTCTCTCTCTCTCTCTCTCTCTCTCTCTCTCTCTCTCACACACACACACACACACACACACTATACATAGAAGAATTCTTATGCTGAGGTCTGTTCTGCACAGCTTTGAATTAATACATATGTTTCTTTCAAATGAATGTAAAATGAATACCAATCACTGCAGCTTCAAAAACATTAACACTCACTCTGAAGGAAAAAATAATCTTACACCTTAAAAATGAAGGGGCAGTTTTGTTATTAGCATGTCATGGAGAAAAGACACACTATGGCAGGCTTATAATCTAAACATGTGACTCAGAAAGTAATGGTATAAATTTGATAAACAGCTGCTCACGAGTGGCTTGAAAGCATATTATTAGACCCATTACAAGAACCTCACTTGACACACCCACACCTGAAGAAGCCCTCATAAAAAGAATAAAACTGACATCCCCTAAATCTGCTGAAGATGTTATCTAGACCTGATAACAAAACGTTCGGAAACCAACCCACAAGCTCAGAGAAGGAACATTCACCTTCAAAAGCGTATTATTTAAGAATGGCAAAAGGCAGAAATGATTTTTTAAAAAGATGAGTTGTATGGAAGAAGATAGCAAAATCAAGCTATACAGATTCTTTTGGAAGGCTAAACTCTCAAATTGAAAGGGGATGGATCACATTCAGAGAGATGCAATATTTATTTTTTATATGCACTTTGATTCAGATGCTATTTTTTCATAACAGAACTGGAAAATAGCCTGAAGGACAACTGAAAATCAGACATCAGAGATTTCAGCAACATAAATAAGGAATGAAGATTGAATTACGCTTGCTGCTGTGAACAGATTGGATATAGACATAAAATTTGTATGGATAAATTTAGTGGAAATATGGGACTCATTTGTACCAAACTAGAGTAAGTTAAAAAAAGCACCATAGCTATATAAATGAATTAGACATGAATATAAATTTATATATGTGTGTGTTTACATTAGATGATTGTATATAGAATTATATTTGTTTATTGCAACAGTATACTTAATTTTATTTTAATGTATGCCAATCAGTGTACATTTAAAGTGACAATAAAGTTATTCTAAGTCTGCTTTATATATTTTTTTGTTTTTTGAAAGAATTCAAAGTATTTGATATATATTTTTATTGTGTCTTTTTGTGCCTTTTTATTCTTTTTCTACTTCTATTTGAAACACAATAAAATTTTTATTAAAAAATAATTTTATTTAAGGAAGGAAATTAAAGTTAGGAATGCTTCAGAAATGCCAGTCAGGGAAAGCAACAAAAGAAATCTGAAATGGCATGAAGCTTGCAAATAATGCGGTTGCAAAGAAACGATACTTCACTGGAAATATGGATAAAATTACATCTCATTAGAGTAACACAGAAAGGCAGAGATGCAAGATCCAAAGCAGATGGTCCCCACAGAAGAAACAGAATCCTATAATGACACAATAAAAGTATGCAAGATTTGCCATAGAACCTTACCTTAACCCGGAATCGAATCATGGCCAGACGTACACAATGCCCCAAGCAGGCAGGTGGAAGAAACCAGGCTCGGGGTGGCGGGGTACCTTTGTTGCCCACATGCCCTGCGATTAGCTGAGCTGTCTGTCTCTCAGCCTGAGCCTTCCTAGCCCACTCGGGCAGCCTCTCCTTTCCAAGCCCTCCATTGAAGATGACAGCTAACTCCAGGCCACCTTGGTAGAGGCAAGCCTGTGAAAGGGCAGCCAGGTAACCCACCATGGCGTTCCACTGGCCCCCACACACCCAGTCTGTCTGGTAGCCACCGTACAGACGCTGCAAAGCGGAATCAGCATCCACCAGAAGCCGAGCTGGGCATGGCGCTGGGGGTGCCAACCCTCCTGCATGTTGGGAGTGTGGGTAACCACCAACCATGGGTGCCAGCCCCGGCGCAGCCCCGGCAGGGTGAGGGTAGCCAGCTGATGGGTGGAAGGTGGTACAGTAGGCGGGGGGCCCGCCTCCACGGCCCCCTACAGCCCGTGCCAGTTTCAGGAGGTCCACGGGCACCACTGCCCCCGGGCAACGCTTTTCCACGAACTCTTGGAAGCCTTGCACCCCCATGGCTGTGCACCCACGGTGGGGATACGGCCCTCTTCCACTGGGCCAAGCAGGGGAGGCTGAGGGGCTGGCACCCCGAAACCAGGACCTGGCACAGTCCAAGCTGCTCCAGCTCCTGGGGCTTCGCTTCTTACAGTTCCCAGGTCTCAGGAATGGATGCAACCGCCATGTTGTAGCTTTCTTCTTCTCCTCCTCCTCCTCCTCTTGCCTCCTCCTTTTCCTCAGTTTAGGCAGCAGCTCACCGGGAGTTGTAGTTTTGTTTTTAATCCGCTATCTATTAGTCAGCACAGAGCGGGACTACAAGTCCCGAAAGAACGCAAGAGCCGCCATGTTGTAAAGTTTTCTTCGCGGTATCCTGGCGTCGCATAGATTTATGGGGCTTGTAGTCCCATTAAAGAGAAGAGTCCCCCGTCACGTCGACGTAAGCGGTGGAAAAAGTAAATTAAAACTACAACTCCCGAGGACTTCAGACGTCCACCATGTTTTTTTTAAAGAACCCGTCTTCCGTGACGATATACGGCCACATGCTAGGTGCGGAAGTAAAAAAAAAAATGATTCCAAACATGGCTTTGAAAATACTACAACTTCCAGCAGTCTCCGCGCATTCACGTAAATCCGTCCATTTTTTTTTGGTCTCTGCCACGTAGGTGCCCTCTACCGCCCCTCGAGAGCATGGCATAGTTCTACACTCGGGATGAGAGAGACGCAGTCACCTAAGAAGGGGAAAAGAACGGCAAGCTACTCATTCGAGCTGCGCCTCCGCCATATTATCAAGGCGCTTAGCATGCCGGGAGATGTAGTCCGTCACCCCTTTCCCAGGGTTTCAGAAGGGGCTCCTCCCTCGCTGGTCCCCAGAGAGCCCTCCCGGCCGCCATGTTAAAAGGAAGAGTGACATGATTGCAGCCCTCCTCCTTTTTCTTAAAAACTCGCGGGACCCACCGATCCTCCCACGCAGCCTCGCTTGCTCGGACGTAAACTCCCCTCCTCACCGGAGGCCTGGTTTTCATCAGCCTTGCGCCGTCTGCCACGTTTTGCGAACGCGGGAAAGGAAGCCGGCGCCACCTGGCCACCCAGAGCAGAGCAAAATAGCCGCCGATGCCAGCGCCACCCCCGAGCCCAAGGCTGTTGTCGCTCTGCTCCGACCACGTCGCGGAAGGCCATTTGATCCGGCGGCACAATCAGCCACGTCTCGGCTCTATACCCCCCCCCCCAATTCCCCGGACTCCTCCGTACCAGACGACCTTGGGAATGAATCTATTTCGCTTTAAAATGTTCCTGCGACTGACTTGCGTTTTCCTAAATAACAGCTGATGTCAGAAGCAGCAGGATGCGCTCTGGCTAAATGTGAATGTTTCAACGCTTATACAGCTCCTTCGCTGTATTTTCATAATTGTAGTAACCTTTTAATGTTGAAGGCTGCCCAAGGGTCCAGAGCTTTACCGGTATGAGAGAGGACTTCTTATTTAAGCCGCTAACCACACAAACAGGGCAGAATTGCCAAAACCCACCAGTTATTACAGATCGTCCTCATTAATACACCTCATAGCTTCTGACTTCAATACTTTAAATATGCCTGCTTCAATCTATGTCGTCATGTTCCTCCAGATTTTACACCATCCTTCAATTTTAGATTTTTATCCCACTTTTATTCCTTTTAAAAAAATAAATAACTTGTGGTGAATAAGATACTTCCTCCTATTCCTCCCCGCAACAACAACCCTGTAAGGTGGGTTGTGCTGAGAGTGAGTGACCTGCCCGGGGTCACCCATTCTTAAGTAAATTCAAAGACTTCCTATCTGGTTTGCTTCGGGATTTCTTAACTTCACCAAGAATCTAGCCTGTGTTACTGGAATCCCGTATTGTTTGGTTTGCATGTAGCACAAACTCAAGTCACTAGGGATTGCAAACCATAACTGATTAGTGTGATGAGTGAAGCATGTATGCATTTTATTAACTGTTGTGTAACTAAATTCTAGAATAGTAGCCATTTAAAAATCGAGTATACAAAAGCACTGAAGGCTTTGCAGCACCTTAACAACAATCTTGCAAGAATGGAGAATAGTCCTTGGGTGAACTACTATCACTATCACCCACTAAGATTTAATCTTGTCTAGTTCATATTGGCATCATAGTAAAAGTAGTGATAGGAACATAACTTTTTGTTTCCTGTTTTTTGATGACAGTTTGTAAATTTGGATAAATAAGTACAATTACACCCTTAGAAAAGTATGATTTCTACTGTAAACATTTCAGAAAAGTTGAATGTGTTTCCTATTTTAACAACAAAGACTAGGCATTTTTTTTCCCAACACAGCCTTTATTTTCCTTTGTAACAGTTTAAAAAAATATTTGTTAATGGTTGTGTACAAATGAAGTCAACTCACAGCTTGCAAAAATAATTAAAAAAAACACATGAAACAACTGCTGATAAAAGACATTCGTTTTCTACCATAAAGATTTAGGGCTATGTTTTCTTTAAAAAAAAACCTGAATGGGATGCCTTATCCATGTTATAATGAAAAGGTCACCCACATTCTATGTTCAGTCAGAAACATCTCAGCTTGAATGCCAAGTTGATGGGTTGAAAATAAGTCCTATGATGTTACATTAAGATATAATTCACATAAGAGAGAAGAAAATTCCTATTTCTGAAAGTGAAACATTGCCAATATGTGTAAATCTAAGGAGACATTTATTCACAGGATATACCTGATCATATTGCCATACATTAAGCCCACATGCTCCTCAGTTATTTCCAGCAAAGAAGGGGGGGAGGGGGAACAAACAGGCTCTCTTCAAATAGGTTACTTTTTTTAAAATAGAGAAGTCCTTTGCTGTATTAGAATTTTTAGAACCACAGAACCTCCAATGTGGCCACCAAACCAACTAGTAAGTGGATACTGTGTGGCCTAAATTAACCATAACAATGAGCCACAAACATCATCCTGCTTTGGATGCTTTAAAAGGTAGAACAGAAGCTGATACCTGGAAGTAAATTAACTCCTCAGCAACTAGGAGCAAGAGACAGTAAGAGTCATAGCTGTTTGCTCTACTATCCAGCTGTTCGTGTACGTAACTTCATGTATAACAGAACATGGATGTACATTTCTACAACTCTCAAAGATACTATTTTTCTTCCCACTGGCTGCCCTCCTGCACTTACCATCTTTTGTCAATTGAAATGAGAGAGAAAAAAATAGCTTATAAAATGCTGACAGATAGCCTCAAGGAATCTGCTGGAGGTCTAAAAGGCAACAACATATTCAGACTTCCACAGAGTATTTTGTACGGTAATTCATTGCCTATTACTGAAGGCTGCTTAGTATTTGGTATGTGGATCATTCCACTACAGAAAAACCATCTGCCATGTTGTAAAATATATAGAACTTTCTGTATTCCTGTGAGAATTGGCTTTCCAAACAATATTACTCTAGCAATCAAGAAAATAATGACATGGACAACTTAGGCAATGTGTCCAATGATATAATTATTGTAATGGAAGGAACAAAACTATTAAGAAGCATGATGGTGTTCTTCCAGCATGCTAAATGCCATAACCGCTGCTAATTTAAATTGGCTCAGTTCCATTAACTTGAAGGAGACATTTGTATGTGCACAAAGAAGTTAGTTAAAAACATAGGCTAAGACTCTTGTTCATTGCAGTTTAATTCTAAGGAAGCTAGTAGTAGAATCATAATGTATATATTGGGAACAGCTGTACAAATGTAATATGGTATTTTTTTCTGAGAGTTAATTATGCTGTTCAAAATTATCTCAATTCCTTTTTTTTAAAGAAAAAATAATAAAAATGTGTTTGATCCCCTAAAGCAAGTTTGTCTTTCTATCCTTTAGCTGTATCAGTTTTGAAAGTGAAATGTTCAACTGGACATAAACTGAAAATTAATACTTAAATCAACTGGTTTAACTTGAAAATGTAGTCTGGAAACATGAGTAGAATTTTTATAGTAATGTTTTTGAGTCTGAGAATTAAAAAGGAACATATGACTTTATTGCCTGAATGTGGTTTCATGTTTTGTCTCCCAAATTCACTGTGTAAAGTCACTTTGCCAGTGAAACACATCTAATACTTTACACTTTGCGAAGACATGAATCCATGTTTGGTATTCTCCCTCTTACACACATACTTATGTGAGTCTTTAATGTCAGCACAAATTGTAACAATAAGGATGTATCAAGGATTGAACAGCAACCCATGTCTTTAGCATTAAATCTTACTTGGATCTAAGGCTAATGTAAACAGAAAATACAATATTCTTAGCAGAAAGCAAGATAAAAGGAATTTGTAGTGGAATTTTTTAGACTAAACCTACAGCCTGTATTGTCTCTTTCCCATTGATCCATCAACTTCAGTTAAGAGCTAATACCTAAGAAATTTATCTACAATCCTTCCCAGCAATCAACATGAGAAATTCTTTTCTAAAGAAAATCTTGTTTTTCCCATTTAGATGGTGGTACCTTGGGTAATGGAAGACGGATGAGGCAGTTGGTCACACCCCTTGCTATGTTACTGTAACTGGTTGGAATATAACTAGAAAAAAATGCACGGAGCTGTTCTTTTTATTCATCTGACATGTTATACTCAAGTTGATGGATAAACGTGAAATCTTTGTGAACATTAAACATCCTCCTTAAAACAGTAAACAGAATGAGCTCTTGTGCCAAGTTACAAAAAAAGGGAGGGGGAGGGGGTTGAAAGGAAAAAGCATGTGTCAAAACACTGTATCCAATTTAAACAGACAGAAACAGTAGAACACATTGTTTATGCCACAGCCTAGATTTAAACAGCACTAACAAATGAGGTAGGTAAGAAACATGAAATTTCAACAAAGAAAACAATTCAGTTTGAACACTACTAAAAATTCACAAAGTTATTAAAATTATACATTCCATTCATATCGTACAAAGCTCAGGCTCAATCTTCACAGCAGAAAAGTGCCTTCCAAAACGTCCCCCAAAACCAAATTCACAGTTTGATTTCTTTTAAAGAGGGTGCATGCTTCAAAGAGAGAAACAATGAAAAAGCAACAGGGAAGAGAAGAAAAACTGGGCAGTAAATGTTCCACATTAAATGCAGAGACTCAAAAATATATAAACATAATAACTACGTATGTTTCCTCCATTGTCGGTGCCTTTACATAGCTTCAGAGAAAGGGGCAATCCAACATATCTCATCTTTTCCCCAAAACTAAAGATGTAGTAATACTAATATTGCCTGGGTTTGCATAGTTTTTGAAATCAAAGCATTTTGAAACTTTTCGGGGCAGAGTAATTTACTATCCACATCACGGTTAACACATTGGCCATGTCACGTTCTCTGAACTCTGGCCACCGAAGACAGGAAGTAAACTTTATAAAAGGATGACACTCCAATCTCTCCCCACCCCCGCAGCGTAACACAATCTCATTATGCTTTTCCACTTGAAATGAAGGAACTCAACACTATAATTATGTTAGATCACGTCTTCTATATTGGTAAGGCTTTTGAAAATAATAAGCAGGAGAAAGTATGGATGTTGTTATCAGCGACAACCACTTAGCATCCAATTCCAGCTTAAACTGAAATCACAGATTCATAGTACTGTTTTGAATAGATTTGGCGTCAAACTGTCAAACAAGTTACTTCATGAATATCACTTTCCTTCTCTTATCAGTAGAAAGATAAGCCACATAAGGATTTGCCAACTCCTCAAGGCTTCAAAGAAAGCCTTCTCCTGTCAACTGTAAAACTCTGGATTCTTTCAGAGAATTCTAATTAAAGCAAAGGGAAGAAAAGACTAAATGCAAAATATGTATCTAGGTTTTACTTAAGAGGCATTGCCTTCACTCAACCCTTGCTACCCACATATAGGAAATAGGAATCAGGTCTGTTCTCATTGTTTGCAAAATGGGTATTATGCCAAATTGCTGCTTCATTTCAATACCAAGTTCTTTCTGAATTCCACCCAAGAAGGAAAGAGGCTATGTAAATCTGACAGTTAATCCACATAAATTAAGGTTTATTTTCCCTAGCCTACTGTTGTTCAGTTGTACACTTTCCTGATATTAAAAAGTCCCAGGCTCCATACTTTAAATAGTTTAAGCAGGATTTTAATTTTTTTATGTAATCTAATTTGACCTAAATGAGGTATTTTCGGGGTTTTCTGTTTTGTTATAAATGAAGGGGTTTTTTTTAACATAGTAAAATAAAGCCTCATGTCTGTGCTCGTGATGTTTACATTTTTCTAAATAAAGGATCAATATATATTGTAATTCTCAACTGAGACAAACTACATCAGATTATGGGTTACGCCAGTTCTACATGAAAATCGGGAATTGAATTAGAAACAGCAGGGGCAAGGCAAGAGGTGTACAATTTTTCTCTTCAAAATTGCTTTTTGCAAGTGGGAATACCCTGGTTTCAAAATTCCATCAAAGAGAGAAGCAGCAAGGAGAGGCTATTTTATGAAGTAAGAAAGGTAGAAATTCAATGAATACACAGCACTTTAAACTGACCCTGTCCTCTACAGAAAACCAGCAGCAATGTAACCCTGATACTATTGTTACACTGGTTTCCCTCCAACACTGAAGTACACTCTATGGTTTACTCAATAATCAGGATTGCCCAAAAGCACCAGTGTTACACCACATTTCCATAACAGAAACACAATTCATATATTTGTGTGCCTGAGAGAGCTAAGTGGGCCAGGGCTGCTTAATATAAATAAATCAGCCTTTAAGACCATCACGGGTACTTCCTAGCAGCTTGCATTTTTATGAACATTAAGTTACAGAACAGCAAACTAGGATACAACATTTTAAGCTTTCCTAGTAAGTCAAAATGAATTGCTGACAAACAGTTTATTTTGAAGACTTTAAAGCGGGGAAAAAATTAAAAGATGGAAGCAAGTGTCATGTGATCAGTTGTCTGCTCACTTTATGCCCCCTCTTCCTTATGGAGCAGATTATAAAGGCACAGATGGGGCTGTAGGAAGAGGCATAATCATCTCTCAACTGCTCTGTGAGTGGAAACTGTTTCTGCTCATGGAAATGCACCACTGATTTTCCCACAAATCATATGTATGTCTTTTAAAAAAATAACACTGTTCTTGCCTAAGTTCTTCAAACTGAAACTTTCTTTTAAGGTATATATGATTTTACTGCTGCAAATCAGCAATGTACTTTTCAAGCATCAAAAGGCTATAACTTTTTTTTTTTCAACTTTCCAGTAAAAATCTGAAAAGATACTAAGATTATCCATTACAAGGCACTGCAAATCTTTGCAGGCAGAACAAAGAGGCTGCATTAAATGGAAGCAGAATCTTTGTCCAGAATGCAGAGGGGAGAAATATAGTCTATAATATATCACTAAGACTACAGATGCTGTTTTATAAAACAAAAGACAACAAGGAACTGGTGTCTGAAAATGATTTAAATAAAATAATCTCCAGCAACCCAGATATTCCTGGCCACAATACTATTAAACCAATGGTACATTAATTTCAGATTTAAACATGGTCTTTTAGATAAAATTCAACTACTTGAGGTTTTAATGAAATTAAGCCTCCTTCTATCGCTTGCTAAAAATATCAGACAACTGCAAAAATGGCAGCTATCTTATAATATCCAAAAGACAATAATTTAAGTCTGAATTTAAAATAAAGTGTGGCAATTTTCATTCCAGATTAATAAAGGGGAAAGTGAGCTAGATGTTATTACAGCAAATGCTTGAAAGACTTGCAACGAAGGAAGCAACCTCTGAGTCCACATAAGAATACAATTTTCAACAAGAAAGGGATAAACTGATTATATATTAGAGAAAACAAGAAATGTTAGCTCCAGTGAATTATAACCTCCCTCATAATTCACAGCCAATTAAGTTAAACATGTACTATTAAACTAAGCTAATTCTCTATCAGGGTGAAATCATAACAGCAATCTTCACATGGCAGCTGAAATGCAGTTGATAAAATTAGTGATTATATGAGATATATACCTCCAAGGGAGGGTGTCTCTTTATTTAGCAATTTTTTACATCTTTTAAGGATGTTGAACAGGTAAATTTTAGACTTTTCTTTGCATAACATCCAATTAGCAGCACTAGATGTAACTGAAAAACAGAAAGCCTACCAAATGGGATTCCAGCACCATATCCTTACTGCCATACATACATGTAGAATTTTCTTAATTTGTAAATATAAAGATGGACTGCTTAATCTTGCACCTTGGCAATCAAATTCAGTAGACACTAAAACCTTTAATGATCTGAGAAACAACACTAGGCATCTAAACTAGGAGACTGTATTTCACTAATCTGCTGTAAGGCAATCCATTAAATGCAAAAACTATGTGCACTAGACCCTGTTTCAATTTATAATCATTTTCCAACAACCAAAAAAATGTTGAATATGGACCACAAATGATACGAAAATGACCAAGATGGGAGAAGTTTTAAAAAAGGCCCACAATAGTCCCCCAGCCCCAGTTCCCACCCTTTCCAATTCTACCTCCTCCCCCCCCCCATTCCATAATATAAGATTTGTATCAGCTGCAAAATAAGCTTTAAAAAAACCCTCAAAGAGTCCCAAACACAGGTACAATAAACCAGGTCAACATTCCAATGTATCTACGGAATATAGTGTGTGTAAGGACATCTAGTTGCATTCTACAAATAGTTCTGAATTGTCCAGGACAGCTTTCCCAAATCAAAGAGAAGGCAGCGACTGTACGCCTCTTCTTTCAGCAGTGCTTCACTTCCAAAAGGCCTATCTCTGGGACAGAGGAAGGAAGAGTTTACGATAGAATTCAACTAAACAAACTGTAATCCAATTTTTTTTAAAAAACCTTAGTTAGCCTGTAGTCGAGCTGCCAATGAAACTAAATGGAAACATAACAATAATGCAAATATAAATGTCACTCTTCTCTGCTGATCCCTTCCATTCTGTAAATTAATTCAAATGCTAGTAAGTATATAATCCAAGAAGAGTTACTACCAACTTCAAAAAACAGTTGTCACAAAAGCAAACAAGGGATATGGGGCAGGAATGATAGGGAAGGCTTATTAATAAGCAGCACATGGCATGCTGTTCATCTCAAGAACAAAGAGATGTACAGGCCAAAGCTCTCTCAAGTACTTAAAAAAATTCCCTAAAGAAAATGAAATCAAGTATTCAAAGAGGAGAATGCAAAGACAATCTCCTACCATTCCCACATCACTGCACTGGGGAATTCACCCCCAAATCCAGGCAGCAGAATGCAAGGCAGAGGAATGGAGTCATGAGAGATAGGCACAGTCCCCATATCTAGCTTTTTTTTTGCTATCCATCTTCATTTGGGACTTGGGGGAATGGGAGCTGGGTTTTGCACGGGCGATGCTGGAAATGCTGGCATGCTGATCCCTGGTTGAAAGGGTCCCACTGTCTGGGCAGGGACCACGACAGATTGTTGAGTTGTCCCAGAAATGCCCATCCATTGCACTGGGTAAGTTGTTCCTGCGATGGTGTTATACTGGCACAAATGTGGTATTCCATATGGCGATAGTGTGCCAGAAAAGGGTGACAGGGGAAGTCCTTGGGGTAAAGCAGCTGGTACAGTCCCGCGGATCTGGGAAAGTGAGGAAATCCATGTGGAGGTGTAGCCCACAGTAGATGTTGTTGTCTTAAACACAAGGGAAAACAGAAACTATTTTAAATGCAAGGAAATACACTCAACAGCTGTCTGTGGCACATCTTTGTGATGTTAAATAGTACAGTATCTGCTAACAGAAGAGCATAGAAGAGGACCAAAGATGCAGTGGAAGGTGCACACATTTGAACAAACATTACCATGTAGTGGAGATTTTCACTTTCAGCTTTTAATATCCTAGACCTATTAACACTATTTCCTTTCTAAGTACCTGCTCCCAGTTCACTATTCCCAGAGCTATCCATAACATAAGGCTGTGTGCAACACCGCTCCTTTCCAATACCATTCATGTAGGGCACCTGGACTTTAAACAGAGACAATATACTTAGAAAAAACATAATAATCTCTCACTGGTTGTGATCTATCCAGCAAATCACAGAAAACCGAAAAACCTGGTTGAATCAGAGCTATTCCAGCATTTTTCCCCACAGGGACCTACTAGATATTTTTGGAAAGTCGAAAGTCTTTTATGTTTTTTATGCCCCCCTGCCACTGAGGTATATTAGGTGTGAAACTGTGAAGAATATATAGCCCTAGCAATCTAGGGAATATACAGGATTGAATTTATCAAGTACATTTGATGACTCCAGTGTAAACTCTGGTGAAAAATAGCAAGCTAGTCTTAATGCTTAGAATGGATTGTCTGCCATTTATGAGAAAACTTCAGAAAACAAAGATAGTGAAAATAGTTTAATCAGAGAGTTATGTGAAGGGTCTAAAAATATCCCATCAGGACAATGACTTTAATTTACCTTAGAAAGATCAGAGAAATTTTTTGAACCTTTTAGAATTAAACATAATCTTATAATCGCGCCCAGCCGTCTTGTTTAGAATAACCCGCTCCCTCTTGAAAGAGAGGGATGCGGATGACCCTTTACAAGGTAGAGCTGAGGAATTTGTTCAGTATTTAACGGATAAAGTTGCTCGGATTCGGACAGAGCTGGACTCCAATTGCACGGTACCAGCCGAGGTACCGGGGGAAGGTCTTGAGCATACTTTATGGATTGAGTTTCAACTTGCTTCTCCTGAGGAAGTGGACAAGGCCATGGGAGCAGTGAGTGCCTCCACTTGTATACTGGACCCGTGCCCCCCCCCTGGCTGGTCTCGACCAGCAGGGAGGTGACACGGGGCTGGATCCAGACGATAGTTAACACCTCTCTCCGGGAGGGAATCTTCCCACCCCTCCTAAAGGATGCGGTGGTGAGACCCCTCCTGAAGAAACCGTCTCTGGACCCAGCCATTTTGAGCAACTATCGCCTAGTCTCCAACCTTCCCTTTGTTGGGAAGGTTGTTCAGAAAGTGGTGGCACTCACCGCTCCTATGGCCTTGTCCAATTCCTCAGGAGAAGCAAGTTGAAACTCAAT